TCTGTTTCTACTTTATCTCACCCCAGTTTTTAAAATTTTGTCTGACCTGTGATTTGTTTTTTGTTGGGGGGGGGGGGAGAATTGGTCAAAAGCAGTGATTTTTCAAACTTTTTGATATCAGAACCCCTTTATATCTTTAATAATTATTGAATACCCCTAAAAGGTTTTGTTTGTGTGGGTTATATCTTTGTGGGGTTTATTTATTTAAATATTTATTTTTAAAATTTTTGGCTGTGTTGGGTCTTCGTTGCTGTGCACGGGCTTTCTCTAGTTGTGGTGAGTGGGGGCTACTCTTCGTTGTGGTGTGTGGGCTTCTCATTGTGGTGGCTTCTCTTTGTTGCAGAGCACGGGCTTCAGTAGTTGTGGTGCATGGGCTCAGTAGTTGTGGCTCACGGGCTCTAGAGCGCAGGCTCAGCAGTTGTGGCACACAGGCTTAGTTGCTCCGCTGCATGTGGGATCTTTCCGGTCCAGGGATCGAACCCATGTCCCCTGCGTTGGCAGGCAGATTCTTAACCACTGCACCAGCAGGGAAGCCCCTATATTTTTGGTATTTACTGTATTAGAAGTTACAAGCTGAGAAATTATTTAAATATGTATTCATTCATTGAAACGTAATAAACCCATTACATGTTAACAAAATATTTTCATGAATAATAACTTTTTCCAAACACACACACACAGAATAGTGGAAAGACTTGGCTAGTTTCTCTTATTGCAAATCTCTTTAAAGCCTGCCATAAGATAAGACTGTTGGATTCTCACATCAGCTCCTATATTCAGTCTATTGCATTATCACATGTGATGCATGTAGCCTTTGGAAAACTCCCCTATACACTTATGAGAGAATGATAATGAAGGAGGCAAAGAATGTCTTAGATTTACCCTCAGGGACCTAGGATACCCAAGTTGGAGAGCAATTGGTTTTAAGATTTGTTGTTTCTGGCAAAATTAGGAGTGTTTAGAAACCTTTCAACAATTTCTCATAATACGTAGGGAAGAGGTATGGGTTTTTTATGCACCCAAATACAGAATATCCAAGGAAGTTACTATTTGGGTCAAAGATGAACCTTTTTTTAGAGTCAGAGATTAAAGAGAAGTTCTCATTTGCATAATCACTTCATTGATGTTATTCAATAGTATACCGAAGCAAAATGAACATCTGTATAAGTAGTACTTTAAGAAAACATTTCTTTTTGCTCCGTTGGTTAATATCCCATCTTGTTCCGTAAAGTACTTGGGGCAACTCTGCAGATAATTAGTAGAATAGAGTTTTGAATATAGATGGGACAAGAAGAAAAAGGTTAGAAACTAAGATAAAGCCAAGCATAAAGTTAGCACATAAAATTTATTTCATACACTTTTGTTTTGTTTTGTTTTGTTTTTTTGCGGTACGCGGGCCTCTCACTGTTGTGGCCTCTCCCGTTGCGGAGCGGACGCGCAGGCTCAGCTGCCATGGCTCACGGGCCCATCCGCTCCACGGCATGTGGGATCTTCCCGGACTGGGGCACGAACCCGTGTCCCCTGCATCGGCAGGCGGACTCTCAACCACTGCGCCACCAGGGAAGCCCCATACACTTTTGTATAGCTTTTAGAAGTGGGAGAAAACCACAGTATTTTCAAATGTTCCAACTTGAAAAAAAGATTCACTAAGTGTTTTTAATAATTACTCACACCATGCTTAGCAATTGTGAAGTATAGTGTCATTTATGAAAATCTGCTCTTATTCACCTTTCCTAGGAAAATAATCTTATGTAATGCCAGTCTACTTTGCTAGTGATTTCACTTGCTAACAGTTATTCCATCAGCCTTATCAAAGTTTATTAAGCGTTATTCAACTTTATTAATTGTATTTATCAAGGAATTAAGCTATTCTGTTTGGTTGAAAGTGCTGGAATGGTAACTGCATTTTATAACTTAATGCAACGTGAGTGAAAGAGCACAGCACTGCGATCCAGGAGACCAGAGATCTAATTTTGGTTCCGAGACTGGATTCCTACAAGCCTAGGCAGCCACGTGCATCTTGCTCATGGGTGGAGAGGAGTGTGGAATGCTGGAAAGCGACTAACAATTTTATTTGGGAGATGGAAGCACTCTATAGAATGTTGAGGTGTTTTTTTGTTTTGTTTTTTTTATGAAAGGTACTTACATTCCCACTTCACACTCCTGGAATTACTTCACACTCCAGAATTACTGTACCAGGACTAGTATACCAGGATTACAATTTGTATACCAGGGTTACTCAGGTGTATGTATTTGTCAAAATTATACAGTTAAGATTTGTGCATTAAATGTATGTACATTTTACCTTAAAAAAATCTAAAAATAATCATCAGGTGGTTGGGGGTAGAGGTGGAGATAAAACAAGAAAGGCACAATTTTCGAAACTGGGTGATAGGGACCTAAGGTTATTACACTGTTCTTTTCACTTTATGTATATACATTTGAAGCTTTCCATGTCAAAATGTTTGTATTTTTTTAAAGCAACATTTTGGTCTACCATATTAGAAGGTCAAAAGATAGCATTTAAAACTGATAAATCAAGAAATAGCAGTGTAAGCATATTATTTAGAAACGTGGAAGTAAATAGAAGGGAAAAACAGTTAAAAGGTATAAAAGTGGTTGCCTATGGGGATCAGAGCTGAGTGTGGAGAGGCCTGGAGTAGGAAATATCTCTATTTTGTTTTATAAGGCTTTTAGTGTTACTTGATTTTTAAACCTTATGCATGTATTACTTTGATAAAATGATGCATTCATTCTATGGATTACTGCTTTGTTTTCAAGGAAAATATCCACATCATCATATGTGAATAATTAGGCATAGACCAATGCTTAGAATATAAAAATTCTGTTTATGTATGATAATTCTGGCACTATGCCCAGTTATTTCCATTGCCAAAGTTGGTGATTTACATTTGAATTCCTACTTCAGATGAGTAGGGTAGGGCTTCAAAGTGTGATTGCATAGTTTGTCCCTGCCCTCCTGCAGTTTGGTCTTTACACAATAGTCAAGAGTGATCATAAATAAGCTTATATTACTCTCCTGTTTAAAAGCCACTGACTGCCTTCCCATTGCAGTTAGAATAGAATTCAAACTCTTCATCATGGCCTACAAACAAGGCTATAAATTATATAAATGAGGGAACGGTGCCTCATTCTCTTGCCACTCTCCCTCATCAGTGTCAGCCTTGATGGTCTTCTTTTACACACTCATAGCTCTTTCCAGGCCTTTGTACTTGCCATTCCTCATGAGATTGGCTGCTTCAGGATTTCATTCAGGATTTAATTCCTGAAAAAGGCCTTCCCTGACCATCTAGCTGGAGTAGCTCCTTCCACCCCTCTCCGTCTAGAGCAGTGGTGCCCAGTGTGGTCCTCAGACCAGAAGCATGAGCATCACGTGGGAGCATTTTCTTTTGTTTTGTTGTTTTGTTTGGAAATGCAGTCCTCCAGACCAGCTGCAGTAAAATCTGCATTTTAACAAAACTCCAAGGTGACTGCATGCAGTTTAAAATTTTCAAAAGCTCTGATCTAGAATAACCCACCTTCTCAACTTTCCTGTCTATCTGTTAATAGTGCATCCATTTCTGAAGATAAGTTAGTCATTTACTTGTCTATTACTTTTCCCTAAATGGAATATGATCCCCACAAGGGCACCACTTTGACTTGTTCTCTCGGGACAAGTCAGCACCTGACCCACTGTCTGCACCTGGAACACACTCAATGAGTATTTGATGTGTAAAAGAATATACAAATATGATCGAGATTATTTTGTGTTCCTTGACGCATATAATTGTATAACAACAATCTTCATGGTTCTCACTTGCTTGTAAAATTGGGGTTATCTCCCAACATCATCATTATGAAGAGATTTCACTCTCTTTCTTAGACACTAAAGTCGTGTGACTAGTAAGGAATTACTTATTTATCCTTATTTTCAGGTAGTTTGTCTTCAGAACCCAAGTTTAGATTTTATTGAGTAATTTGCTACAGACTGAAAACATTTTCTTTTTGGTATTTTAAAAAGCACTTTCAGGGCTTCCTTGGTGGTGCAGTGGTTGAGAGTCCGCCTGCCGATGCAGGGGACACGGGTTCGTGCCCCGGTCCGGGAGGATCCCACGTGCCGCGGAGTGGCTGGGCCCGTGAGCCATGGCCGCTGGGCCTGTGCGTCCGGAGCCTGTGCTCCGCAGCAGGAGAGGCCACAACAGTGAGAGGCCCGCGTACCGAAAAAAAAAAAAAAAAAGCACTTTCATTCAGAGTTAAAGTTATTATCAAAGGTTTTTATCCAAAGTAAATGTTAGTTTGATATTTGTATCAAATTTTATTAAATCAGAATTTAATTTTTAATAAGAAAACAAGATTCTGAAAATGTAAAGTCAAATGCAACATTTTCAGTTAAGCTGCAAATAAAAACTGATGGAGCAAACAATGTATCAACTTTATACTCTTGAGATAAGATTCTAGGGAA